GTGGGTGTTGATCGCTGCCTTCTTCCTTCTCCAGGTACTCATTTTTCTTCTTCTTCCCAGTCTCCATTGATCGTTGGTCCTGTGCAGTATGTAATGATATTAATTTATTTACAAAGCCAAATGTATATAAATTTTTTTGTATAAAAATTTCTGAATCTTGATTAATTTTAATTTTGTGCAACAGTGGCATCACCTGCATCCAATTTTCATATAGAAATGACTAAAAAACTTGCTAATGATCCCACATGGGAACATTGTGACAAAGTAGAAGGATCAAGGTTGAAATTGAAATGCATTCATTGTGCAAATGTCTATTGGGGAGGCATTTCAAGAATGAAAAATCATTTGGCAAGTAATCGCAAAGATGTAGCAGCGTGTAAGCATTGCCCTGAGGAAGTAACTGAATTTTTTAAGCAATTATTGGATGATAGGGCAATTAGCAAAGATATGAGTCTTGTGGATTCGAAAAGTAGTGGCAGTGTGGGTAGTACTACTGCTGATAAAATACAGCCAACCACCACAATTACTTTGAATACTATGTTGAAGAAAAAGGGTAGGGAAGATGTATGCTTGGATATTTGTAGATGTTTTTATGCTAATGCCCTTCCTTTTAATTTGGTAAAGGATCCATATTTTGTAAGAATGTTAGAATCTGTTGCATCGTTTGGTAAGGGATTGAAACCTCCATCGTATCATGAGGTGAGATGTTCTTTTTTGAAAAAAGAAACAAATTTGATTAATGGTGGGTTGATGGAAAATTATAAAGCAGAGTGGAGAAGGACGGGTTGTACTCTTATGTCTGATGGATGGACTGATGGGAAACATCGCTCTATCACTAATTTTTTAGTGAATAGTCCTAGAGGAAGTGTGTTTCTTAAAAGTATTGATACTTCAGGTATTTGTAAGAATGCGGATAATCTTTTTGAGCTTTTAGATTCAATGGTAGAAGAGATTGGTGAGGATAATGTTGTTCAGGTTGTAACTGATAGTGCATCGGCTTATGTAAAAGCTGGGGAGTTGTTAATGGAAAAGAGGAAAAAGTTGTTTTGGTCTCCTTGCGGTGCACATTGTCTAGATCTCATTTTGACGGATATTGGGGACCTTCCTCTGCACAAGGATATAATGTCAAAGGCAAGGAAAATCACAGTTTACATTTATAGACATTCTTGGGTGTTAAATCTTATGAGAAAGTATACAAAGAAAAGGGATTTGGTGAGAGCTTGTGTGACCAGATTTGCCACCTCATATTTAACTTTAAGGAGTTTATTTGAAAATAAAATTGGGCTTAGAGCAATGTTTGCTTCTGAGGAATGGCAGAGAAGTCAATATTGTAAGAAGGGAGATGGTGTAAAAGTGATGGATATTATACTAGCTGACCAAAATTTTTGGGGATCAATCAAGTATTGCTTGAAGTGTGTGTTGCCATTGGTGAAGGTGTTGAGGCTTGTAGATGGGGATCTAAAGCCTGCCATGGGGTATATTTATGAGGCAATGGACAAGGCAAAGGAACAAATCCAAAAGAATTTTCGTAATGTGAAGAAGCACTATGAGCCCATATGGACTATTGTTGACACTAGATAGAACATGCAATTACACAGACCTCTTCATGCAGCTGCCTATTATCTCAATCCCGCGTAAGACTTAATTTTCTCAATTTTTATATCATTTTATATCTATATATTGTATGCTAATCAATGATCATTGTAAATCAAAATAATTATTTCAGGTTTCATTACACCGGTAGTGCGGACTATGAGATAAAGATGGGACTATATCAGACTATTCAGAGAATGTGCCCAAGTCCTATTATGAGAGAAAAAGTTGATAAACAATTAGATATCTTTCATAATGCTGATTTGATGTTTGGAATGGACATGGCAATCCAAATGAGGAAGAAGAAACAACCTGGTTAGTGGTAACTTAACTTAAGTTGGTTATTTGAATGCAACTGCTTAAGTTAGTTAATAGAGTATTCTATTGTAATTTTTTATAGCCTTGTGGTGGGAATCATTTGGAGGATGTTGTCCAGAGTTGCAACAACTTGCTATCCGCGTCCTTAGCTTGACTTGTAGTGCCACTGGATGTGAGAGGAATTGGAGTACATTTGACCAGGTGCACTCTAAGAGGAGAAATCGATTAGAGCAACAAAGATTAAGTGCACTTGTGTTTGTGAAGTACAATCTTCGATTGGAGGCAAGACACCAAAAGAGAATACTAGAGGGTGATTCCTATGATCCTATTTCTCTCTCAGATATGGAATCTGATGATGAGTGGATCACTGAAAAAGAAGATGCACTCCTTCCTGAGGACACTACTTGGATGAATGTTGGTGAATGTTTTGAGGTTCAAGAAGGGACTAGCAAAAAGAGAAAGAGAGGTAATTAAAATGTAGTGGTTGTTTTTTCTTCTTCTCCATTACTTTGAATTTTATTTTTTTTATATTTTGTATTGGTTGCTTTGTAGGGCCTAGAAATCTTACTTTAAGCAAGAAAAAAGGAAAGCAAATAGTTCAACTTGAAGATGAGGATGAGGATGAGGATGAGGATGAGGATGAACAAATACAAGAAGTTGAAGATGATAAAGGAAGTGAAGACTTGTTGGCATCCGATCACAATGATGATGATGATGATGCATTTTCAATTGAAATTGAAGATTGAGTTCAAAATGGATGTTAGAAATTTGGATTAGAAGTCTCTTTGGTGTTTAAAGTTTGAATTAGTGAACTATGGTTGTGAACTTTGCATTATAATAGTAGTGGATTATGTTGATAACTTGAATAGTTGGTGGAGTATTAATGAAATGCTATATTTTTTATGAGTGTATGACTTTTTTTCAAAGGTATATATATTTTTTTATTATTTATTTAAAATTGCATCGTATCTTACGATACACGATACGATACACGATACGATACAATATTTGTATCTTACGATACGCCTTCCGATACACGATTTGATAACTATGCATCTAACCATCGTGGGCTCAAAAAGATGTCCTCTATTCATTACTCTGAACAATGCCAGCACATTACTTGATTGAATCATGAGACTCATCACCCACTTAAAGGAGGGAAGAGAAAGAAATGCACCGATAAAAAAAGGTCAAGCAACATTTCAATTACTCGCTCGGAACTCAATCGATGACATACCCTCTGGTAACTAAATTTTTGTTAAGATAGAAACAAACCCCATTTGCTTCATTTGAAAGATTATTATAGGATTGAAAATATAGGCAGCCATAGTGAAGTTTATCATCACTACATTTGTGAGGACATAGTATTTTTTTTTTTTTTTGAGAAGTTTGGTAGTATGTTAATAACTTGGTCTTGTCACATGATTGAAAATTCCGATTCAATCGATTTGCTCAAGGTCATGTATGTGAAACGGCCATTTCAAGGGAAAACTTGGTGCAGACAGGAAGTTCAGGACGTTTCTACACTTGATGCTTGTGCGGTTGTGTTTCGTCAACTATTAAAGAATAATGTTTGACTTATTTTCTACAATGCACTGTTAAACAGGTTGAAATATGGTGAAGATTTTTCTTCCCAAGTACCTCCTCTTTTTTACAACAGTGGAGGCCTGGCTATCATGGCCCAGGTGGGCAGATTTCATCTATAAAAGTTAGTTTGTTATTGGTTAGATATCAAAGTATCATGGTTCAAATAAGTAGTAGTTTACCCTAAAGAATGTAAAATTAATTTAACTTTTGTAGCTGACCATCTTATTGTCTGCTCTTCTCTGCCCTCTACCTTTCAATTTTTTAGTGATATTTCAGTAAATAGGTATTATTATGGCAGATTGAAATTTAATCTCCTTCATATTGAAATGATAAGGTAAGTCTGAATCATTTGGTCGCATTAGCCCAACACCACTTTAGAGATGACGTAATTTTGTATGTTGTTTTTGTTTTTATATATGTCATAATACTGTGTAGACAGATTGCACCATTGGACATAATCCTTTTGAACATGGTAGTTCTCCTGCTTCAGCATGGAACTGAGTAAAACCTCTCTTTTATAATACTTTTAATATTTACTTGTCGTGATTCATGTTGTATTTTGTTTCTCCAATTAGTTACTGTGCACAAGACAAACAAAAATCTACAAACCCATATGACAAAATTAAAAAAAAAATATAACTCATGATAATTTACTTGCAACGCACGTGTACCAACTAGTTTGACTAAAAGACATCCACGAGTCATACTTTGACCCATTACAATAAATCCAAAAATTACAAAATAAAAGATACAAAAAACAAAAATTACTAGCAAATTACTCAAAAATAAGACCCACCTAAACTCAAAGACAATTATGTAATGTCCCATATGGGGCTCTAGAGATGGCAACCACATTTCACAGGTTTTAACATCTTTGAATTTGTTTCTCATTAGCCATCTCCAATATGAACTCAAATTTGAGTAAAAAGTTTGTCTGATATAAAAAAACTCAAATTTAAACGAGAACAAACCTAAATTTTAAATAAAGTAAAATATGATCTAACCATTAGAAATTTAAGTAATGATTTAATTTTCATTTTATTTGAGTAAAATTTGAGTCTTCCTTAGTTTGATATAAGTTTGACTAAAGTACTAGAGCTTGTAAGCCTCTTCACTCAAATTTAAATTTGAGTTAGGATTTAACCAAGGGTTGGAGATGCTCAAATTTAAATTATAGACTGCATCACAGACCTTTTCAGGGCGCTTAGAGCAGCTTTGTTATACCGTAGTCTCTTGCCCCAAAAGAAAAAGAGTAGACTCCTAGCCTGACGTGCACCGGCAAATTATAACACTGGGAATAATGAAAGGGCAGACTCGAACCAGAAACAGATCCTCCCAATTTCAAATTTCATCAATTTCGGTTAAGTTTAACCATTTATTGTTAAATTTGTCAAATTTATCGGTTCCAGATAGTGCGTTGCTATGATCCGAGTAACACCCTATGAGACCCCATAATTTTAATTAAAACTTCTTAGATCCATTCTAACTCACGAGCTCTAGCTTCAGTGTAGTGAAGGCATGAACAAAGACGGAATGATTCGATGAGTACCTTGTAGATAGCATCCCAAGGCAAACAACCCAGAAAATCCACTAGAAAACGAGATTTCAAATACCTGCAGACACCAACAGTTCATCACAAGCACAAATAAGCATTAAAGATACTTTAAATGATTTTATAGAAACATGCGTACTGGGTACTTTAAAAATGTTTGGCACAAAGAAGGCTCTCGACAAACTGACCGAATGGCGATTAGGTTGTGATTGTAGACCATGCAGTAAGAATGGGCGTCGCGGTAGGCAACGAAGAAATGAACAACGATGTCGATGAGGAAAGCGAATTGTCCGGCGATGTCGAGGAGGAATATGTTCTCTGGCACTCCTCTGAAGAATCCGAACTCCAGCGGTGTGAAGAATGATGAGTACACTGCCCATATCAGAATGAACTGTGTCCATACCAAGTACCACCTGCATTTGATTTGTTGTTTTCAATGCAAATCTGAATCAAGAACCCACAGGGGGTGAGAGAGAGGGAAAATAGAGAGGAGACCCTCAGACATGGCAATTGATAAATGTTTCAATCTCTTAGGTCGGATTCGCGCTGATTAAGAGTAAATTACACTTCATCGGCCAACATTTAATTGAATAAATTACACTTTATTCCCCCAAACTATTATTTTTATTTCAATTTACATCTATAATTATAAAATTTCTCACATTACATCCTAAAGTATTAATTTTATTTTATATCACTTTAATAGAAAACGAAAAACTTGAAAATTTACCAAGAGAGAGAGAGAAACCCTAAAACATTTCCCACCAAGTGCTTAATACCACTTTATTTTACCTATTTTGTAACCAAATAATTGCTACAAAGAAAAAGAAGGTCAATTAGACGAAGAAAATTTGAAGTTTAAGAAAGACAAAGTCAAGGAAGAGTATTTTTTATTTTTGACCGTCACATGTGCAATAGGTAGTTACTTGTTGATAGTATAGACCACTTACATGTACATTTATCATTAAAAAATTGACAGTTATTATCTATTAGAGTTATATAAAATAAAATTAATACATTAGGATATAATGTGAGAATTTTATAGTTAAGAGTATAAAGTAAAATAAAAATAATATTTCAAGGGAGAAAATATAATTTGCTCTTTAATTAATCACATTGTCTGATATTCATCTGAGTTAGGATAAATTATATTTTGACCCTTTTCGCTATGATACTTTTTTTATTTTACCCCCTTAGTTATTATATTTTTTACACTGCATAATTAATTATGTGATTAATTTCGCATTACCCTAATTATTAACGGCCATGATATATTTAATAAAAAATTATTTCATTTTATCCCCTGAATTATATAATTTTTTTCACTTTACTATGACACTTCAGCAATTTTCATCCAAAAAAAAAAACAAACGTTTGAGATTGAGACAATATGAAATAATAAACTTAGTTAAAGAGATAATGTATAAAATTTAATAATTCAAGTGATAAAATAAAATAGAGTCCATAATTTAGGTGGTCAAAATTTAATTGACCCTTCAAGTTATTTATCATTATAGTTTGTTTGGATTGATGTGTAACCCATGAATTAAAATTGTCAGTCAAATTCACAGTTGTAGTTTTTTTATAAATTAAAATTTTACTAAATAATAAATAATAATAATAATAATAATAGTGCTCTTATATTTACAAATAGGTATGTCAATGGTATCAAGTCTTTAATGGATTTGCGCCAAAAAAATGCTCCATTTATGCTCAATTCATTTATTAATTCGTGTCTAACGAATCGTGTCATATTAGGTTCGTGTCGTATATGAATTGTGTATAACTGATATATAAATGAATTGTGTCATTTTTTTTTTTATCAATTTCACCCATACTCGATTTGGGTGGGGAACGACCATGACTCCTTTCTTCTCGAAAATTCATACATCTCTTATCAGTATATGGAAGCTATCTCTTGAGCACAAGTTTAGGTTCGACCTCAATGGAAAAATTAAATGGAGCACTTAATAACACATATTCACATGCCAAGAATTACGAGATCACCTATTTTCATTCTGGGATGACAAAGGGATCGTATCATTTGAGTAGTTTTTTTATGTTTTTTCTAGGAAGCCTGGAGAAAGTTGCAATCAATAGGACTTCCCTAATCCTCCCTTCATTAGTCATGTCGTGTCGGGCCCCACCCATTTACAAAATATGTGGTATAAGAAATACTCAAACCCTCTAATTTCGTATCATGTTTACAAGTTGTTTTATATTTTGACACCTCTAATTACAAGAATCCATGTCAATACTTAATAAAAATTGACATTTTATTCATAAAATACTAATTAAATATGTTAATCATCTCAATTTCAAGTTATTTAGTTTCAATCTAATTCGATTCATTTATTATTCGTATTAATAGATTGTGCCATTTTCAGGTTCATGTCAAAAAATAATCAACTCATACTTATTAAGTTCGTGTCGAATTTGAGTCATATTGTTGTATCGTGTCATTTCCAAAATTGCTACATCTAGCATTATCAATTTTTTCCTCTTTCAAGTGGGAATACACATAAAAGTAGCATTGTTTTTCCACGAGAACCCCTCGCCCACACTCATGTTTATAGGCATAGTTAACTAATTTTGTAAAAAATTAAGTTTGAATTAGTTAATAAAAATGGGGAGAGTATTGAATTGATTTTATTTGTGTAGCTATTACTTGAATAAAATAAATGAAAAGTGAAAAAAATGTTAAGGTGTATAAAATCAAAAGCATGAATTGAGAGAGCTAAATGAAATCTGTGTGTTGGGTGAGTTATGCGCATGTGAGCAAGATGGCAGTAAGCATGGAACTAAGTGGTTCATCAAGCTACAGAGCTAGCCTAGTCCATTGTAATGGAATCTCTTACTTCTCTAGTTTATATTACTTGGGAAAAAAGACAATTACAGTTTTGAGAATACAATTGCACATATCTCTTGGTAAAGGAAGGGTTTGCCTATTTATACACTAAGGTAATGTGGTACTCAAGCAATGATGGTGTGGTCCCTGAGTTTGTTAGAATATATAAAGCAAGATTTGGTCGTTAGAGGATCTCTTCCCTAGGTATGATGTGGCATTCTAGAAGACATGACATGACATTCTATGGGTAGTGACTTTTTGCCTCTTTGAAAATTTAAGGGCATCTTTTTGCATAGTGGACCAATAGTACCCTTGGCGTAAGGCCTTGTAAGTCAAAACTCATCCTCCAGAGTGGTTGTTACAAACTCCCTGATGAATCTCTCGGAGCACATATGGAGTGTCTTCCTATTTTAAGCAGCATAGATATTGAAGTGAGAAACCTCTTTTATACAAGGTTCCATCTGGTATCACTTACTTAGTTTCCTTGCGATGAAGTTTTTGAGCTTCCACCCTCTATGGTGGTAGAATTCTGTGGATTAGTTATTGAACAAGGGGATAAGTCCAACCTCCTTACTGATAAACCACTTTGCCCTCAAGCTCTATTTCCTCTGTGCTAGATCTTTGGAGGAGTTCCATAGGGATCATGCAAGGGAGTTCATTGTGGAAGCAAGAAGCCAGGTGTGCTAGGGAATTTGTGTTATATCAAAATTTCAAAACTAAGCAACATGATTTTTGATCTTGGACAAGTAGGTTGTCATCCTCTCATCCTTGGCTTGATATTCCCCTTGAATTTGTTTTGTCACCAATTGAAATTCCACTGTGGCTTGCAAATCCTTGGCTCCATGAACAACTACTAACCTTAGTCTTGCTAGTAATGCTTCACATTCGGCCTCATTATTTGAGACTTTGAATCCAAATCTTAAAGCATATTTTATCTTGAGTTGATCTGGTGTGACAGGATTAGCCTTAAGCCTTCTCCATCTGCGTTGGAGGAGCCACCAATGTAGAGGGTTTAATTATGCTACTCCGAAAAAGATGGACCATCTCCTTCTAGTTCTAGGATTGTGTTTTCCGTATAAAATCTACCAATGTTTTCCCCTTGATAGATGTTCTAGGCTGGTAGACTATGTCAAATTCTCCCATTCAATGGACCACTTAGCTAGCTTCCTTGATACCTCAAGTCTTTGGAAGACGTGCCTATATGGGGGAATCTATCATGATTACACTGGTATGGTTTGGAAATAAAGGCGTAGTTTCCTTGCTGTTGTGACCAAGGTTAGGATCACATTTTCCAACTTGAAGTACCTAGTTTTGGCTCCTTTGAGAACCTGGCTAGTGTAATAGATTAGTTGTTGAACTCATTGTTCCTCTCTTACTAGGGCAAAACTGGTGCTAGCTTTTGAAATATGAAGTTGAAGACACAATTTATCCTTGAGTATTGCTTAAGCACACTCTGGTGTCCACTCAAAAGCTTTTTTCAATGTCTTAAATAAAGCCAAACATTTATCACTAGCTCTTGAGACAAACCTGTTGAATGCAGCTATCCTTCCCATTAGGAATTGTACTTCCTTAATGTTGTGAGGTTGGCACATGCTAAAAAGAGTCTGGATCTTATCAATATTTACCTTTATCCTCCTTCGGGATACTAAAAAACCCAAGACTTTCTTGAGGATACCCCAAGAGCAAACTTATTGGGTTTAGTTTTATTTGGTTTTTTTTTAGGGTTCTAAAAACGTCATCCAGGTGACCAACTTGTTCTTCCACAATCTGGACCTTAACTAACATGTCATCAACATAGATCTCCATGGTCTTTTGAATCAGATCTTTGAAGATTCAATTGGCCAAGAGTTGGTATGTAGATCCAACATTCTTTAAGCTAAATAGCATCATCTGGTACTGAAACAACCCCTGCTCATTGACGAAAAAGGTCTTCTCTTGATCACCTAGATGCATGCACATTTGGTTATAGCCTAAGGAGGCATACATATATCTTAAGAGCTTGAACCTAGCTATAGGGAAACAATCTTTTGGACTAGCCTTGTTGAGGTTTGTGAAATATATGCAGAGCCTTCATTTCACATTGTGTTTTTTGACCAAAACCATGTTGGGCAATCACTATGGATAATGGACTTCTCTGATAGATGTGGTTTGTAAAAGCTTGTCTACCTCTTTTGTAATTGCTCTAACCATTTTTTTGGTGAATGTTCTCCTTTTTTGTCTGATTGGTTTAAAAGTCGAGTCTACACTAAGCTTGTGGACCATCATATGGGAATCAATTCCAAGCATGTCTTCATGACTCCAAGAGAATAGATCTATGTTGTCACGTAAGAATCTTTCAATTTTTTTTTGAAATAGTGGGGAGCTTAGACTCTACATACGTCCCTTGTTTCTATGTTCAATATTGGTCAAGTGTTGGTTGTAGGTTGGAGAATACCTAACTTTTTAATTAATTAAATAATAATTCTATAAAGTAAGAAAAGCGGTTGGGAAGGGTTATAAATCCCTCTCTCCCAAAAAACAATTGTTACCAAAGGGTTCCCCATGTGATGCATATAATTTATAACTCGTCTT